GACGCCGACGCCCTCAAGCCCCAACTCAACGGGGACGCGCACATACATGAGCCATCAGTGAGTACAACCCAACCTACAAACTAAAGACAAACTATTAACAAGAAAAGTCTATTTTATTTGTAATATGTTAGATTCACGTACGTATTTATTTTCTATTAATGTCTGTCTAAAAAAGATAGTACTACTAAATAATACTTTATACAGGTATAACGCATATACGGTTTATTTAATTTTAGAATACGATACAGAAACGACCGTATCGTTTCTGTATCGTCTGTGGTTATTTTTTCACTAAAACTCTGTTCTCGTTTCGATTTATAGGCAAGTAGCAGTTTTTCTAATAAACCGACAGAAGTCTCATTGTTAGCGCATCACGCAAAAAGTATTGAATGGATTTCGATCAATATTTCTTATTTTTTATCAAGTGGTCATTGTATAAAAACTATAGCTTGCTTTGGGCCCTTCAAGTTCAGCTGTATATTGATGTATTGAATCTTCAAATCAAAATATACATTTCTTAACAATTGTAATGATCGTATTCTAATTTATTACTAGTTGACCACCCATTTTCAAATCAAATAAAATGATTTGTATACCAAATATATTTTAAGAAGTCGACGATTGATGTTTTCGAGTTAATTGCAATGTTGTATGCCGAACTGAAAATTTATTGGCTGCTGTGGGTCATAAACAGTTTTTTGATAGCGGAATGAAGTGGTTAATACGAACTTTTAAAACGCGTTTAATGAATGACTGGCTACCAATATCATGCTGTTTAATTAATACCAACGTTTTTATCTAAACACTATCAACTTCATTTGCATATTGTGATGGTCCATTAGAGATATAGGCGTCGATATCGCATCAAATTAGAATTTTCTAATGATGTTTATCCTTATCGTTATTTTTCAAATTATTTAAATGAAATAAGTACCTTCTTAATTTTCTAACCGTGTGAAACTCTTTTGAAGACAATTACCATGATCTCTATTTAACTAAGTTTCATTTCAAACTCGGATACAAGTCTAGGAGACGTAGCTATTTTATTTTATGTACGTATCGTGAATTTAAATGAGACACAATATCCTAAACTAACACTTCTTCCTGAGCCCCTTCGTACATGTGTGTGTAAACAAAACTAATTTCTATTTATATTTGTAAGCGTTTGGTATTATTCACCAAGTAGCGGCCATTAAGAAACCGTACAGTTTCGTGACTTCCGTCCCGCCGCGTGTGGCTTAAGTTTTTTGCGCATGTACCGACGTAGGGTTTCGGGGGACACTATGTATATTTATAGATCGTAATGGCAATGCTCTCGCTGCATGCTAAAGTAGTTAATTGAAGCAACAGATGAAGTAACGTCGTTTGATTCTATTGTAGCTGTCTTGTTGGAAGTTGGAACTCATCTAGGCGTTGTAAATAGGTTACGCAAACTTGTGGTCATTTTACGAAACATTACTTGTCTTTTGCTATGGATTACCTAATGTTATTTGACACTGCTGCAAATTACAAAATTTTAAGAATATTTAAACATAAATTTAGTATGTGTAGCACTAACAATTTTTCCTTTTTACAATAGATATGAGTAATTTATTTTAATTTATTGCTAATATTTTTCATTATGTTAGCACTGAACTAGTTTTATTGTGGAGACGACGTGGAACATTACTTTAGTTCGAAGCAAAAGAATTGTCGAGAGATAATAGATGACATATGTTTCCAATTTGTTTCGACTTGGTTTGTACGAAATAATGTGGTATGCTACAACGATGATTTCCTTACTTCAAGGACAAAGAGAAACAGTTAGACATCGGCACACCTGAAAATGAAAAGGATGCCACGACGGAGAAGGAGAACAAAGAGGTAGAAGAGGCAAAAGAAAAGGAGACTCCGGCAGTCACCAACGGGGACAGTGAGCAGAAAGAAGAAAATGGAGACGCGGCCGCTACCCCAGAAGAAGCAAAGAAACCCAAAAAGGAAAAGGTATATATCATTTTCAGCCTTATCTGTATAAGCACAAGCAATAATTGAGCTTTTCTTTTATTTAAGCGCTAATTATCTTATCAATGCTGATTTTTATTTGCTATATTGCGTATTTTTCATTTATAAAGCTAAATTGAAAGTCATTATACACCATAAAAAGCCCAATAGTTGCATGATCGTTTGCCATTAAGTGTTCTAACTATAGCATGTCGCGGGCAGGTCAAGAAGAAATGGTCGCTCAGGTCGATCAGTTTCAGCAGAAAAGATAAACCTAAGCAAGAAAAGAAAGCTAAGGACGACGAGGCCAAAACACCGAACGGCGAGACAGAGAAACTGCCCGAAGAGGTGAGCGTATTCAAATTACATTAACGTCGTATAACACATGTTTGCGCTTTAAGTAGATATTGAAATCTGCAAGCCGTTATTTTTCGTCATTTTCAAGTTGAACAAACCCGCCGACTTCGATCTCTAAAGCGATAACTTTCTAGTTTTCTATACCTACAATAACTTATTCATATTCCGCTAACGTCCGGCGCGGCCGCTCCGACTGTCCGCGCGCACTTATCCATCATGCCACCGACCTAGCCTCAGCCCACTTTCCAGCCGGCATTGTCCGCCATGTGTACAGTGTGTACACTGGGGAGCCGAATTATAATCGTTACGATGTCTACAACTATTTTAGGCTTACAATCGCGAGTCAACGACCTCGCCATGCGAATACTGGCCGATGTGAAATCGCACGGCCCAGAACTGGTACGAGGGCGGCCACGACCATGTTCTCTAACAAATAGCCGACACAGCTTACATGTAGCGCCCGATGTATCGTTTTATCTTCACAAATAGCTTGATCCGGTTTATTAAAAAAAAACGTTTCTGACCATTTGCTTTGATTTGTAATGTTTCGGCACAACCTTGTGCTTCTAACGATTTCTACGACGGGTATCTCGCTACGTCTCAGTGCATTGCACTCGTTTGTCGGGTAACAATACGCATTATAATTCAAAATGGTGCTATATCCGCGCTGGACGAACGTGAGCGACTATTGTAGGCACTGCGAGACAGCGCCCACATCCATTAACTCGTCGAGGGCGCGTGTTGACCACCATTCACCACCCCCCTGATCACCGTTCACGAACAAAGAGCTCGTGTCCGCCCGCGCCGCGCCGCGCAACTCGGACCTTCGCGCGCCATGCATCGGTACGCTCTTTGTTATCCGTTATACTTCCTGTTTGACTTTTTAACTACTTTCATTGTCCGTTCTGCGTAAATGTGTACACACTTTTACTGTTATAGGGATAGCTACGAAGCGATGTGTATACAAAATAAGCTAATGTTATTATAATCACACATTGTGTTAGGTCTCGCAGTAATACAGAATCTTTTGTTATACGACGTACTCACTCTTACAACTAATTATTATTGCTAGTACATCGCGTTTATTAAAATCGAAATATAATTGTACCTAATCGAATATTATGCCAACACAAAATATTGTTTTACATACAATAGGAGCATACTTGGGAACGTACACGTACATTGTGCGATACTTTTTGGGGTGCGCGTATTTTTGGTGGAGCGCGCAGTTTGTCCGGCGAATGTTTACGTCTGTGCACATGTGTTGCGCGGCGCCGGCGTGCGGTCGTTAGCACTCAGCCTCCCACAACGAGATGCTTCTGACACACATATCTATATCGCAGCCGACGCTCAATGTGTGTACTCTGGTAACTTTATGTTGGCACCATTGTTATCCCCTCCATTACGTCCGCTACATATGTCGTTTACTGGACACCTAAATAATATTGATCAAAGACGGTTCAGTTTTTTTAAATGCTTGGAACCGGTTGTAGATGTAGTTTCAAAAATGCTCATTATCCTTGTTCAAATTTTATTGTCGATCTAAGCTGTCGTTTTATAATAAAACTTTTGCACTGCCAATATATCAAGTCATCCATACACCTATAAGGGCAAAAATGTAAGAGGAAGTAGAATGCGGTGCACCTGCCACAAGTGTGCGCTGAATGTAAGAATTTTAAAAAGTCATTCATGAAGTATGATTGGTATGTGATTCTCCTGACTGATTGAATGACTAAACTAGGTCATAAGTCGGAACTCCTTAATCAAGACATTCTTCTTCTAACAAATTGATATTTATATAATTGTTTGTGTGCTACCAGTAGTTGCGTATGACACAGCAATGTGTCATATTTACACAATGTTACAAGTTTCAGTTATTGTTTGATTTCGTAATTTTAAACCAATATTCTTTATATGTTGTAACTTTTTTTTATGAAATACACACATCCTTTACATCATGTTGTAATTTGTGAGTACGACATAAGACGATAAAGTAAAGGTCCAAGTTTAAACGGCTTTGTTACTATCAAGAAATTAGAATAATTTGTATACTTTGTATGTCTACGGTCAATGAAGCTATTAATTAATGTTTAAATTGTATAATTACAATTAGTTATTAATTTTAGATTTCCTCATTAATTTCTTTTGTAACACCCACGAAGTCAAACGTGTATAAGGAAAATAATGTGAAATTAATGAATAATTGTGCTCCACAATTAGTGTTTTATCAAGGTTTAATTATAGCTACATAATACAATATTAAATATTAAATCTATTTGCATATACATCAATGTTGTAGTTATGTTACGTATCGTATCAAGTTGGGAATGTTCTGTTAGTAATGAATTCAAAAGGAGTTAGAAGTGGTCGGGGCGTAAGCGATTCGCGAGGCATATTTATGCGCAAAATAAAATTAGCGCTGCGGGGCAGGTTTCCAAGGCTAGCTGGCGCGGCCGCAACCAGACTGGTCCCCGTTCGCTACAGATGCGTAGGAAGGCACCGATACCCTCTACCTGCCGACTACACCTTCGCAAATTACCCGAATTCATCGTGCCCCAACATGCTGCTTTGATATGCAGAATTATTCCATCAAAATACACATTGCCGTCCGTCTACATGAGCCCAACAGCCGAAATATATTATTCTGAAACAATTTGCGCCACACTAAATTATAATTGCAAATCGCCGTCCTTAAAACCTTGGAAAGCGTTTAAAGTTAAAATCTCTTCACCATTTAAAGTAAAATTATACGTTTATCATATCAGTCTATGCAAATAGCAATAACTATTCAATTTTCTGGCCCTTAACCGAATTTAGTAGTTAACTGATATAAATGGGTGCCAATCACAGTTTGTAATTCATGAATGTTTGTTTTACTATCAGTAGAGAATAGATTTTAATAGTTTTTGAGGTATTAAGATAAAATTGATATGTGAAGAGATGTGTTACGCTCGTCAGAAAGTATATTTTTATCTTTGTATTATGATAAAATTTCCCAAGACCGTTACCACCGGGTAGTGTTATGCTTTGGTGTTGTTGATATCGCGGCATTACCACGGGATCCATCTCGTCTGTCGCGCGGCGTCAGGTGAACAATGGCGGCCATTGTCCGTGCGTTATGCCACTATGCGGCGGTTGGTGTTACGTTTCGTCTTACATGTTTATCATCAGCCAGGCGCCGTTACGAACGAACGCTGTCATATTTCCATAATACGTACGCGGTCGGTGCGTTACAACAAGGAAGGATTCCGTTTCCTATGCGCTAACTGTAATCGATGAGTCGCTGGAAAAGTTGGAGTTGTAGGTACGTGACATGCCGCGCTCCGATGCCTTGTTAGCTACCTTTATGTTCTAGATAAGCTTAAACGATTGCATTGCACTAGAACTGTTTGTTCATTCTGTTGGCAGCTGATATTGTCTGCACTCTCCGACACGGATGTCATTGTAGCTAAGTATTATTACGCTACTTTATACACAAAAGAGACCAGTATTCGTCGCGCAAAAGAAAAGGCTCTGATCTCTTTACTGATCAGACAATGTTTGTTGCAAATTTATTAGCTTATAAAATAACATCCTTTATATCGCAATTGCCGATACCAATACAAATAACAACATCCGAAGTCAATATAAATATTTGATGTATTTTTCCGTTTTACAAAATTTCGTTTTACTTTATTAAATTTGAACGTAAAAACCGGTATAACAATGGTTGTAAAGATGTCCAACGTATTAATAGTACGTTATGGTTGGCCGGAAGCAGCTAACATCCGGAGTGGTAGAGCTCGCTCCTTCGGTATCATAGACGTGAAAATATTTATGCGTTTTATAGGCTTGTTATTGAAGCGGCTCTCGTCGAGTGAAGGTAATTCGATATCTATCATAACTATACGAAGCAATTGGTGCCAAGAAAGGGCGTTCAACCGGCGATAGACGCAGTTGGCGACGGCGACGCGTCGCGAACGCACGCCTCTAGCCGCCGCATTATCTATGCAAATTACGTATGCGACGGTGAAGATACTCGTATTACATCATTACGCTTGCAAACTTTGCGACTAACTTGCATAGTCGTGTATCTTGATACTTTAGACGGTAACCACACTCATTTCATACATTAATGAATTAGTCAAGTAGAGGCCGATTCTTATCCATTCTATATTTTATATTATCAAGGTACGGCAGATTGTTTCTATAAATTTCATACTAAACATGCATTAATGTGCAATATTCCTTAATAATTCATATCCAGTAATTTTACATATACAGCATTTAATTCTTACCTGTTATTTAAAGATCTTTAACCTAAACTATGAACAGAGTGCGGCACATTGATAACATTTAAGTATAATCGACCTTTATTATTTAAACACGGCACTTCTTCGTAATTCGTCTGTAAACATTATTCCGGTAAAAATATTTCTATAATTTTCCAATGACTTATTGCATACAGCAATTTATTTGGTCGCTAATCTCTGGCTTTTCGCAAGTTTTGCGTGATTAAGTGAACGTAATTTGCAACTATCCGAAGCCTGTGTTGGAAATAGCTTTTGCTTTGTTGTGTAATAATAATAGCAATTGAATGATCACACTTTGAACCCAAGCGCACGGAGCACGGCATAAAATTGATAACGGGTTATGTATGAGTATGTAGTCGAGACTGCCGAGCTGGGACGCTAAAGATGCTTGAATATGTAATATTGCGCTGCTCAATTGCATTATATATTATTGAATTCAGGGCATAGGTACATGCCCAATAAATGATGACATCATCAATGTATCATATATGTACATATTTTAATAGGTAAGAAGTTCATCGTTGTTGAACGACTAACCCTACAGGTGAATTTACGTCCGATATTAGTTACGTAAAGAGAAAAGTCCATGGAATCATGGAATCATATGGAATACCCATTCTTTGACTGGATTTCTATATTTGACTCGTTAGACTCTTCATACTTCTATGTGACATACAGGTTACTTGATAATCCTCTTTATAATTTAAATACGGGTTGAACATTTTTTATAATGCTACCAAACGTTTAGTATTTATAAATATTTTTGCAACTACAAATAACCAGGGTTATTTAAATAAATTAATAAATCACTGTTAAATTGTCGCACATTGGTGTATATGTAACTACATAGAAAACTTTGAACAAAATTTGTTTTCAGGTGCAATTTCGGTGCCTACTAGTGACGAATCTTTAACGACGCACTTGTAAGCCGAAAGAGTTAATTAACGTTATCGATGCGTCACACGATGTGAATACGAAATTCAGGAAGTGTGATTCACGAGGAGTAGCGCCGAACTCATACTGACTCAACATATGAATGGCGCCTCCTCGTGTATTACTTGCGAACAATCAAAATAAACAATTCGTTTTGTTTGTAAACTTCAATCGGTCATAGTAAGTTTTCCAAAAATAAGTTAAAAGATCCTTAAATTGGCGCGTTATTAATAATTGCTTAATTCTTAAAATAAAAGAAACATAGAAATTAGCAGTAAGGGACTACTTCAGAAATATGCATTTTACACGGAAAGGAAAGGAAAGGAAAGTAGTCAAACCATGGCGGCCAATCAGTATGTAGCAGTAAAAACTTTTGTATCTATGTGTACAAAAACTAAATTGTAAAGTACTTTCAAATAACGTAGTTAATTGCGCGTGCGTAACAACCACTTGCATTGTTTCTCGTTTAGTTTTGTCCCCGATGCATCAATGCGAGCAAGCTTATCGCGTACGTGCTCACGGGTGACGGCCACAAAACCGACGACCACTTATTGTTCTTTGACAATTTCCGCTGGACATAATTGTAGAGTGAAACATCGAGAGTGCGGTATTGCGGAGCGGAAAATCGTTTCCATAGTTTAAACTGGCATTGTGAGTCAGCGGCGGGCGCTTACCG